AAAATACAGCCACACCAACTGTTTTTAAATATATACATGTTAACTCTGCTGTCGAGTATAAGCAGGTTTTCTCTGAAGTTGAGGTATGTGTGTATTTTTAGTCTCCTAATCATCACTGTGGTTTCTCTGATCCGACAGGAATTCAGGAACAGTTGGATCACTTTGAGTACCTGAACATCAAGTCAGTTTGGATCAGTCCCTTCTACCGCTCCCCCATGAAAGACTTTGGCTATGACGTGGAAGATTTCCGAGCCATTGACCCCCTCTTTGGAACCATGCAGGACTTTGAGGAGCTGCTGGCTGAAATGCACAACAGAGGTGTGGAGGTGGAAGTGGTCGCGATGGACCGTTACAAGACAGAGTGAATATCTTTGACTCTTCTCTCTCTCTCTCTGCTTCCACCAGGTTTGAAGCTGATCATGGATTTCATTCCCAATCACACCAGTGACAAACACCGCTGGTTTAACTTGAGCCGGACGAGAGATGCTCACTACGAGGATTATTACATCTGGACCGACTGCAACGAGACAACGAGGCCTAATAACTGGGTCTGTATCTGCTGACCGCCGAGTTTGTAGAAGAGTAGAAAAGGTTTTTATGTGGGCAGTTTCTGAACGACAACATTTCTTAATCCTTCTGTTTCTCTCAGGTGAGTGTGTTCGGGAATTCATCGTGGACTTACGATGAGGTCAGAGGACAATGTTACCTGCACCAGTTCCTCAAGGAGCAACCAGACCTGAACTTCAGAAACCCACATGTCCGCCAGGAGATGATCGTAAGATTACAACACACACACACACACACACACACACACACACACACACACACACAGACACACACTGTCACTTGTCTCCTCCACTGTGCACCAATCACTACACGTCAGGTGTGATCTGTGTTTGGTTAAGTAACTGATTACACATTAACCCTCGCCCTGTTAACCCCTGGGTGTTTTTAACTGATGCTAAACAGCAAATTACACAGTAACTTATTGTGTCGAGGCTTTTTTCTGATAGGAGAAAGAGTCTGAGTTATACTGTGGACACGTTGTATTTTAATGGCTTTATATTTGTTATTTTATCTCAGGATATTATTCAGTTCTGGTTGGGGAAAGGAGTGGACGGGTTCCGGATGGACGCAGTGAAGCACATCCTGGAGGCTGCGCACTTGAGGGATGAGCCACAGGTGGACCCAGAGAAACCACCTGTGAGTGTGTCTCTTCAGTTTAGTTCAATCACTGTTGTTTGTCTCTAACGTGCACTGGTTGAGACAGGCAGCGAGGTTTGCCGGCCCAGTTCCAGCAGCTCTTTGTCCTCACATTGACCCGACATGGTCTCTCTGATCTGCCAGTTGAAATGGATCCATCTCGAATGGCAGAGCAGGTGTAACTCTGCTCCAAAACACATTTGTGAGGCTGAGCTGTGCCTAGGCTTCCTTTTTTTTTGTAGTGAACGAACGACTGCTCTCATCACCTGACAGCTCCGCTTTCTCCGAGCTCAGGGGGTCAAGGTTCAGCTTAATTAGCCCTCTCTGCTGTGACATTCAGTTACATAGTTATATGATGATTTTACTTTATTGAATTATATAACACGTGAAATGTCAGAGTCCAGATCTTATCAGTGTGAGGGATAAAAGCAGCACTGTGGGCAGAGGCGTCTCCACTGAAGCTGCATGACGGAACAAACTGTTAAGTGAGAGAGCTCGCAGTGTGCACCACGTTATCACTCATCCTCATCTCTGGCTTACATACAAGGTCATCTGGCGCTCTGCTGGAGAAAATACCATTCTCTGAATTCAAAGAAGTTCACGACCCGTTCAGAGTTAAGCTGACTGAGAGGTTTTGTTCCGGGGAGAATGAAGTTATTTCTCCCAGAGGAAAGATTAGTAGAAAAGACGCATATTTCTGTGGATTGGCGAGTCACTGGGATTTACTTATTCCTGCAGAATAACACTGAAACACTGAGACTGACTCGTCTGCTCACAGTTGACTGAGAGGTGAACCCGCTGCTGCAGCACCCGCATCCCACAGTACTTAGCAATAAAACACACAAAGCTGTGTTTTGCAGCGATGGTTCAACAAAACAAGTTGTTCTCAGGCATGACACAGAGACTCTCATGCATTTAAACAACTCTGCAATATATATATATAATTTATATAGTCACATGTCCATTATGTGTTTATTGGGATATAGAGAATTTTACCACAGCCTTAGAAATGATTCAGCCATATTCATAACTTAGCAACTTTCTCTGTTATCATTATTGCTTCAGTGGTTTAGTGTCTGAGGCTTTAAATCCAACCCAACACTGTACTTTACAAGCGGTTTGCTAAATGGTTCGCTCACGTGGCAGCAGGTCACCTCAGTGGTAAACACTGCTGCATCAGTCGTTAAGTGCATGAATAGATTCCTGGCCTGTGGAATTTGTGTGTTGTCCCTGTGTTTGAGTTCACTGACAGTCACACAATTCACTCATGTTATCATTTTTACCCTCACATTGGGCTTTTGAGAATGAAGCAGCTCCTGAAAATTATAACATCCGACAAGCAACTTATGTTTTCACTCAAGATCACACAAAAACATTACCACAAAACTTGGAGGGATTTGTTAATGCGTCAGGGAAGAAGCCATTAAATCTGGTGTGGATCTGGATCAGGAGACAGATCCAGGAACAGGTTTTTTAATATCTTTAACCCTCTGATGTGTTTTCAACATTTGAAATGATTTCCCACGGACTAATTCAAGGATCTTGATGAAAAAATAACAAAATAAATAAGGGAACTGATTTCTTTGAGTGTGTAAAATTTGATGCAGCTTGACTTCACCTTTGATTTATATATATATATATATATACACGGTTATGTGCAAGAGTTTTATGTATATATATATATAAAACTCTTGCACATAACCGTACTCCTCGATCACTGAACCCATAAGTCTGTTTCCACTTGGCCTCTTCTATCTCTGTATCCGGTTTCCACTTATTTTCCAACTACCTGGCCTGTTGCTGCTCCGAGTTCAGGTCCAAGAAAGGACAAAGAAATGCATTTACGCTCAACCTCTTACGAACTCCCAGTGGCCTGAGGAAAATACCATTGAGCTCTGCTAATGCACTGGAGCTGATGATCTCAGGGAGGAAACTCCACTATGAATGAAACACTACTTCTCTGCAGAAACTAAATGTAAAACCTGACTGGAAGCCACAGAAATCCAATAACATTCCAATAATATTCACATGACCTCACATTTCTTCATGTTGTTTCCTCTCCAGGAGTCTGTGACTTCAGAGTGGGACCTTCACCACGACTACACCACCAGTCAGCTGGGGCTGCACGACCTCCTGAGGGACTGGAGGGCAGAGATGGACGTTTACAGCCGCGAGCCCGGCAGATACAGGTGTGTAAATAACACAGTAATATTTAGGTAATAATTAATACTGATCATTTCTGACCTTCTTCTTTCTCTACTACACACGATAAGAACAACAACATAAACGTCTCCTGACTCATCATAATGCTCGTTTCTTCTGATGTATTGTGTCACACCCGTTTCTTAACTCTTCACCTACTATGTATGTTGCCAGGTCATGTTTTCTGTTTCAACGGCAGACAAGAGAAATATACAGTGACTGTTTCTCTACTGCCTATGAGTATAATGATAGTAAGGTTAATTTGACATTTACTATATGTGCTAATCTTGTAATCTGTATCTCGTACATCAAAATATACAAATATTAATGAAAAGGCCAGATTATCTCAAACATTAGATTTTTATTATAGTATGTCGTCAATAAATCTATTAAATTAAAGCCTCTAAGTTTAAGCAGATGTGTTGTCATGCTTTGCTGGAGATCAGTTTAAATGTTATTATACTCATAAGTTCCTGCTGCCTCCAGGGTTATGGTGACAGAGTCATACGATTACCACGAGGTGGACAAGACCATGATGTACTACGGCACCTCGCTGGTTAAAGAAAGTGATTTCCCCTTCAACTTCTACCTGCTGGACCTGCCTCGCAACACCAGCGGCTTGTGGGTTCAACAACTGGTCCAGCTCTGGATGACCAACATGCCCAAGGGACTCTGGGCCAACTGGGTGGTGAGTCACCATTTATCCATTTGTTCTTTGGCATCTTTAAACCATCCCTCACTTCTTCACCTGTTCCTTCCTCTTGTACCTCTCTTACCCCCACTGTTGTCAGGTTGGAAACCACGACAAGCCTCGAATTGCCACCAGCGCTGGTCAGACCTACATTCGCGTCATCAACATGCTGCTGCTGACCCTCCCAGGCACACCCACCACCTACTACGGCGAGGAGATCGGCATGGAGAACATTAATGTCACGGACAGTCAGATACAAGATCCTGCTGGCAAATACAACGCAGTCAGTACTCTCACTATAAACAAGCATTTTAAGACGATGCATTAGACACTGTAACATCTGTTGTTGCTGAAAACAATGAAAATAGACAAACATTTATTAAGGTAGGATTTATTTCCAGTTTGTTGCATTTTGACCACACTAGTTTTATCTTGGCGTATCCAATGGCAACCTTACATGTTAAAGTGTCTGTGCTCTTCCAGAGTCAAACTGCACATTGTGTGTTCCCTGCAGAGCGCCAGTCGGGACCCTCAGCGATCGCCGATGCAGTGGAGTGGTAACATGAATGCAGGCTTTAACAACAGAACCAACATCACCTGGTTGCCTGTTCACCCTGATCACACGAGCGTGAATGTGGAGGTACAGAGATCTTTCAGTTCTGTTCTACTGGGGAGGAACATCTGGTCAGAGCCTGCTTGTGTTTCTTACTTTAACATCATGTGACCCCCCCCCCACTCTCTCTCACCTAGGTCCAGAAAAAAGATGGACGCTCCGTTCTGTCTCAGTACCGTTTCCTGAGCACCCTGCGTCAGTCGGAGCTCCCGCTTCACCGCGGGTGGTTCTGCTACATCCACGCTGACGCCAACGTCTTCTCTTACCTCAGAGAGCTCGACGGGCTCAACCAAGCTTTCCTCATGGTCCTTAATTTTGGCAAAGAATCTGCCGTCACAGACCTCTCGTCTGTTGGTGAGCTACCGGACCAGTTGACGGTGCTGATGAGCACAAACGGTGTCAGGGATGGCAAAGTGTTTCAGAAGTCTCGTATCCTGACGGAAGCAGGGGAGGGTTTGGTGATTCAGTTCTCCGCACAAACTCGGTTTAATCCCAACCACCTCAAACAGTGCTACGTCTCAGAGAAGGCCTGTTACTTAGGAGTCATTGACATTCTTTATAAATGCTAACATGAATGGGCACTGGTATTCAGTTATTGCAGTTTGACAGTAGCAGTCAAATCAAGATGTTTCTTTGGTGTCTCCTCTGTAAAGGATGTGTGTCAGAGAATTAAAAGGACCGTAACGGATACAGTCACCATTGTTGTCTTTTCTTCCACTCATTCATGTTGATTTCTTGATGGTTCTCGAAATCCTCACGATTTCTTCCTCTTGCGTCGTGGAGGGTCGAGGCCCAGCTCTTTGTATAGAAATGCTAGGTTGAGAGCTTCCTGTGTTGGAGAGAAAAGAGAGGTCAAAAAATAAATCAAAAAGGTTTCCCTTATTACCTCCTGTTTTCACTGGTGTTCGTTAGTTAGCAGGATTACGTAGGGGGGACTGTAGTATACACAAGTATGCACACTACTTCTAGTTTGTAAATGTAAATGGAAGCTTGTAAAATGTAAAAACCTTGACTTGATAGACTTGGCTTGGCTACATTTCCCTTCAAGAGTGAATTACCTCCTCCAGCATCAGATCAAAGTCGTCTGGTCCGAGGTGATTTGCTCCGGGTTGGATATTCAGAACAATGTTTGGTGCTGGTTTACATTCTGAAACGAGGAAGATCGGGAGAAAGAGGTCAAAGAAAAGATCTCTAATCTCTAAAACTTCCTCCAGGACATTTATCTTCTCTGCTGCCCTTCTCTCTCTGTCTGTTGCCCCACATCTTATCTCCCTCTCTCATTCCTGACTCTCCTTTCATTCATTCTTGCTCCCATCTGATACTGCCCTCCCTCCTCTCTTGCCTCCCTCATATTATCCCTCCTCCCCGTCTCTGTGGTACTGGCTGTTTCACAAGTGCGGTCTTGACCTTGACAGCTCCCAGTCTGTGGCGTCTAATCTCTCGCTCTGATACACTATCTCTTTACCATGCTAATGGGCCTGCCCACCCGCCTGCATGTGTCTATGCCATCAGCACTTTATCAAAGACTCCGGAGAACAGAGAGAGACAGATTAGGGAGACATATATACACACACATACACACAGAGCCACTTAAGCTGGCTGGCGTATGTGTGTATGAACAACAGAAAAGTGAGAGATAATGTGTGCAGAGAGAGAGAGGGGTGTAAAGCGGAGTACCACCAATATGGTGAAGGCAGATTATGAGTGAGAGGGAGAGAGAGCCTGTCTATAGGGAAATGAGAGCAATTAGCTGACACACATGCTATACTACAAGGTGACCTATGCCATACTTTGGTCATGAACTTAAAACTCTGATAGCACTTTCCCCCAGACAGACAGCTACACATCTGCTGCTGCTGCTGCCTCTCAAGACGTGCACACTGACACTACTACTGGGAGTTGACCCTAAACTATCAAAACCTCTGGGAAGCAGAAATTACACCCAGAAGAAAGTGGAACGAGTGGGAATCTATTCTGGAAATCATCAACAGAAAGATGCACTCAAACATATACATGTCTTTGTACAACAATATGCATGAGTGCACACATACACTTCAAATAATGTTTGAGAAAGCACATGTTATAGAACAGCAGATAATCTGGAGGATTCACCACGAGCGAGTGGACGCGTTGATGACTAACATGCGACAGACGTGAAACTGGAAGAATACAAATATCTCAAGATGAAAAAGAGATGTCATACAAGTAGAAGACGGAGACGAAGATGTCATCTTGGCAAGATGATGAGATTCAAGAGTATTTAGTGACAAAGGCCGAACGCTGGTGTTGGAAATGAAAAAACGTGATCTCAGCAGCAGAATTTATACAACACGTCCTCCCTCCTACGTGTTGGACAGAGAATCTCCTGCTCTATTCTTCAAAAGTCGTTCTCCAGAGTTCAAGTCTGAAAATGGCTGATGTGTGAGAGTTTTAGTGTGTGTGTGTTTTTGTACCTGACTTTGGATCCGTGGTGAAGTGTGTGTGGATGACTTTCCTTAGCTGCTCAGTGTATTTCAGGACACCTGCCAAAGGAACCCTGGCATCACTGCTGTAGGCTGTCAGCAGCATTGATGGATAGCACTATCACATACACAGACACACACACACCGATAAACAAGTTGAAGCAATGGTCCTCAGTGTCTCCTTAAACAACAGAGGCTTATGTCTATTTTCAGTTGAAACTATCTGTCAGTAAGACACAGCACTAAACAAGCAGAGCTTCTCATCTTATGTTGGACAGATTTCAGAGAAAGCCTGGAAACCATTAATTGACCCAGTGCTATTCATATTCAAGCTGTGGGCCATGGGAATTTAAAATGGGTTTACAGCATAGTCTGTTCTCTGGTTTTACAAGACACTTTACATCGTAGGGTAACTTTAGGTGAAGATGGATAAAAAGAAGGTAGCAGGTTGAATTAAGGACATTAACTGGTGTTCTCTCAAGCCAGGCACAAAAAACTACAGCCCCATTTTGAACTTCTCAGTCTCCCCTCCCCTTACCTGAGGAGTGATGTTGTGAAGGGGACAGTAGGAGGTGATGCTGAGTCTGTGTTTGGGGTTCCCTAACGGGTCCCCCCATTCTTCTCTGTCCTCCAAAGTTAGAGGCAAGCTGGGATCCTCCATCGTTCCCAACACATCCAGGAAAGGAGCCTGAAAACAGGAAAATTCATTTCCGACATGTCATTTGGTGAGGAATCGTGAAAACACATACAATAACACTTAACGGTATAAAAACACAACATGCACACAAATCTGCAGTGATTTAACATTTTACCTGCAGGGTGACGGCCCGCATCATATGTGGGTGTCTGTTGCACAGCGCCCCCACTGGCACAGCCCCAGCACTGCAGGCTGTGAGGGCAGTGAGTGAAGGTGAGGAGACTCCTGAGGAGAAGAGGTGTTGGAGACAGGCTTGAAGATCCTCCACTCCTTTCAGCTTCCTCTCCTCACGAGCTTGTCTTTGCCAGGACAGACCTCTCTCTCCTCCCCCTCTGAGGAGGTAAATATGGATTCACTTTCAAAACAAAGTTTGAATTTCCACACTTAGTTAGATATGTTCTCCTCAGCAAATAAACTGCTGAGTAAGTTTTAGGCTGCTGCAGTGGTGCTAGGTTACCTGATGTGGCAGTAGGCCAGAGCCCAGCCCTGCTCCAGCAGCAGCCTCTTCTCTGGGCAGAAGTCCATGTGCAGATCTCTGCCATAAGCTCCGTAGACATGAGCCAGCAGTGGCGCCTGTCTCAGACCTTCCACAGGTACTGCATGGAAGAGTGTGACTGGCACCAGGGTACCGTCCTGCAGAGGAAAGGAAGGAGACTGTCTGCATGATACTAAATGATCCCTAGTTTGCAAATGCCATCACTCGCCTCTTTCTGTCAGGTGTACGTGTGAAGGTGTATGAGACGCATGTGCTGCTTAACAGTTCAGTGGAGTTGCAAAAAGATCTTTATCGGTGGACACTTGAGACTTGATACAAAATGCTCACCTCCCTGCAGATACTGTGTGTGTGCATGTGTCTTATATGTCAAGTGTTCTCACTTGGCTGCAGGCCTCTAAACGTGCGGTGGTATAATTGTCCTTGTTCTCTCGGACGGACCCATCCTCAGTGACTGATAAAAGGAGCCCATCCTCTGGGTACAGACAGTAGGGTGACGGTGGGCGGACTGGAGATGAGATCAGGAAATCAAACACTTTGCACTGGTCTGCCAAGCCTGGTCTTTTGGTTTCAATGGCGCAAGCCCAGGTGGGCAGCTGGGGAACGAGTGTAGAAATATGACAGTATAAGAGATGGATATACAGTAACAGGACAAAATATAATACAAGCAAATGCAAAGAGTGTTCTGACACACTGACCGGCACAGTGTAGGCTTTCTCAGGGTGAATCAGCGGGATCACAATCAGGACAAGCTCATTGGCCGGCGTTCTTACAGTCAACACACAGTGGTCTCCAACCACGTCCATGTCTTTGACTGCACTGCCAGATGAAGGGGCAAACAGTGAGACCCAGGACACCATGGATGGGTTGGAGAGCGGGGCTTGTACCACCTGGTGAGCGCAAAGAATATATCTTCTCACTTGGTAAATTATACAATATACAACTATAGACTGTAAATTAAGACCAACACGCTTCTCCACTTCCTCACACTATACAGAAATGAAGCCAAACTATCCTGGATCTGAACATAGACTATAAACAATAAATGTGTGGAACACCCACAAAAAGATAGAGAGTTTGTGTTTAAATATCAACTGTACAGCGTACCTGATATTCCTGTCCAGGTCCTGTATTAGCCAGTATGATCAGCGTCCTTCTCCAGTGCTCCACATGGTACAAGAGGTCCATCTGTCGAGGCTGAACCAGGAGAGGCTCTGCGCTGTTTGTTGTGGTATCGACCAGCAGCACCTCTGAACTGGTCCTGCTGTTGCAGTTGATGCTCAGTATCTGTCGATCTCTGGAAAGGGCGACCTCCACAAACACACTGGGGGGATGCAGTGTTTCAGTTGCAGACAGTGTTGGGGCAGAGATGGCTAAGATTCACATTACATTACTTACACTTACTCAGGCCGTGTTTCCTCATAAACGTTGGTTATCCTGCTTCCCCCCGAGCTCAGGTCCAGACAAAACACTCTGCTGCAACGTAGGCCTTCAAGAGTCGTGAAGAACAGGACCTCATCTGTGGCCCACTCTTAACCGATGCAGACACAGAAAATATTATTTTGTTTTGTCTGTGCACTAATATCACTTTTTAAAGTGCAGCTATTAAAACATACCAAAGCTGAGGACTTTGTTCAGTGTGAGTAAGATGTGTGAAGGATCCAAAGAAGTGGACATTTCCTTTTCAAGCTTTACAACCACACACCTGGAAATTCACAGTACAAACATCTGTTTTTTTACGCAAAAAAAAAACAAAAAACAGTGCTGCATAGTAAATTGTGTTATGTAGGTTTAATTGTGTTGTGTTTGATTCACCTTAGCTCCTCTCTATGAGTAGCTTTTAACGTGGCAGCGAGATGCTTCTCCTGTGGGGATAAACGTACTCTCTGGACGACCCACTGAAACGTCTGCTTCCTCCCTCCATTCTTAGATCTCGTCTCCTCCTCTCCTCCAGAGACTTGTCCTACATTTAGCACCTGCTCCGGCTCCAGATCTCCTACAAACGGGGAGAGGACACTGAGTCATTCACAGAAGAGGGATTGTCACTAAACTTAGGGTTAGAATTAGGATGATGTTAGAAAAAGCCACAGAGTCGTTAACATTGTCTCACTACATTCATGATATCTGCTTACTCTGCCTCTTGTCCATCCTGTAGATTCCATCGCCTTCAATGAAATACACATGATGATGGCCACACACCTGTGAAAAGAGAGATCACAGTGGATTCTATAAAATACGATGTGGAATTTACCTCAAGTTAAATATTTCTGAATGAAAGTCATTTGAATTTTGTTAAATACAAGGGACATTACATCAAGTTTCTATGCAAAAATACATAAACATATATATCATCATAACAGTTCAAACCGAAAGCAGTTCTTACCACTGAGTGATCAGACGTGTTGGAGATCCTGCGGTACGTCGCCCTCAGTCTCTTGTTGAAATATTTCTGCAGGTCCTTGTACGTCTCAAGTCCAGAGCTGAGATGATCAGCAGGTGAGGTTGACTTTTCCTGAAATAAAAAAGCCTTATAAATTAAGGAAGGACTTTTTGAAACTTCCAACAGTGAGGGGCATCACTGTGTCAATAAAGGTTATTGTCTCCTGTCACAGAGGATGAAGCAAGACAGTGAAACACTAGATAAGAGAACTGTAAAACTTTTAAACAAGTCAGTTAACTAGTGTGTCAGGTTTTGTTTAATCCCTCCAATAAAGAGTGACAGAGCTCCTTTCTCATATTACAGTTTATTTAATGTGATATAAAATCTAAATTACCATCTCAATGATGACACAGTAACATGTTGTTTTAAGTAAAATTGTATAAACTGGCAAGGATTGAAATATTGATGACTTAGCAGAGACTATATACAAGTTTTTGTTAAGATAAAATAAGATAATCCTTTTTTAGGTCCCACAATGGGGACATTTGCAGCAAGAATAAAAAAAAGTCATCAGTAAGTAATAATAAGTAACATGCAATACTTAAGTGTAAGGATAATAATACTTAAATGTGACAAATTTAGAAAATATAGAAAAATATGAATGGAATAAAAACTAATAAACACAATGTATAAACAAGAAGCAGTGTGAGAAGTGTACAGTGAATAGATTGCTTGATATGTTGTTATCAATCAATGTGTGTCAACGTGCTGCTATTTTCTATTTCATGAGCATAAATATAGAAGAACTGCAAAATATAGACTAAGGTGCCAACATTCTTTGACATTCACTATATTAAAAGCGCCCCAGACTTTAGCGTGACATTCTTTCACCTGATTTCAAATCTGTATGAATTTAAACTTAGAAGACCTCATTAAATAGAAAGTGGAACCAAACTTGGCTCAACTGTAGTGGAAACATTAAAACCATGAAGTTTGAGCCTTAATGAAACTGTGCACAGGTGTTTGTTCCTGTGGTGAGTGAACCACATCCGGAGGGAAACAGGCTCGTGTGTCTTATCTACATCTGTCATCCCGGCTCCTTACACCTGTTGTTTGAATAATGGATGATCTAACGCTGTCAGGGTGATAGTTTATCAGGAGGTAATGTCACACCGGCCCTCAGGTGAGGAAACACGGCGTCTGTAACCCTCTTACCCGCGCGAGACATCGCTGCGAGGACAGACACGTCATCTGTTTACAAACAGGTCGAACCCGAGCAGCGAGACGAGCCGAAGAACCGAACAGAGAAGACACGGCTGCCATCCCTCCGCTAACAGTTAGCCCAGCTAGCTAAACAGGTGGTTTGTTTACGTGGGTTTAAGTGGCGAACTGACACCGGTGGAATTCACGACGGCGACTACGATCCACGAAACGCGCAGTCGCTACATTCCCACCGGTTGTTTCTGTTTTAACGTTGTTTACGCGACTTTGTTCGTCAGTCGAAGTTAACGTGGGAGAACATCCAACACATGGAGCAGCTGCTGGTGACGTAGCGGGCAGCGCCCGACTGAAGCAGTCGAGCTCAGACATGATGATCAGACATGTGAGTCGAACTGTACAGTCTGCAGAAACTCCCTGCTTACGTTATTCTTCAATTAAAGTAAATACATGAATCAAATACACAGTAGTTGTTTTTTTTTTATCGTACACGTTTATTTCTTTCATAGACCAAACAAAGCAATTTAAATGAGAACACAACATTTCAAATCTTGAATGAAAAGAAGCAGATTCAAGCAAATAATTCAATTAGAAATATAAAATAGCAACAGGCCAACACAGCCCCTCACATCCCTCTATTATCTCGTAAATTACATAAATGAATAAACGCAATACGTAAGTATGTGTAATTATACACCAGCGTAATCCTGCGCCACTCGACAATCCATTGCTATGCCTTGAAGGCCTGAAGTGTACGGAAGTAGCGTGACTCTGTGATCATCGTGGAGGTAACAGGTCAACAAAACAATCACACACGTTTATCTGCGGTGATTCCTGCGCTGCTGAAGCCTTGTTTCTGCCTGTTGTCACCGATAACTGTGGCAGCTGTGCAGCCACTGACTCGATTCCCGTGTATAAGTGGACACATACGATGGAGAGGGACTGTACCGGTGCTGCGGAGGAGAAGGAGCCGGCTTCCACCCGGAGGACGGAGGTAAACGGGGACAGGTGCTCCGCTGACTCCCGCTCCTCCAGCACCGAGAGCTGCGGTGTCGCTGATGTGGCCAAAGCCCGATGGACTCTGCTCAGACAGGTTAGATCCTCTCAGGAGGAGACACACAGCGGTTCTCTGGCTCACACCATGTAGTCTGTGGTTCACACCATGTACTGTCTGTGGTTCACACCATGTACTGTCTGTGG